ACACCAACTTTATTTTCTTTCAGAAAAGTACTCCAACTTAACACTTTCTTTCACCCATGATATTTTAGCCGGTTTCTATGTTAATAGCCGGTTACCTATCCTACGTGTATATATGCCTACTTGGCGCACCCATTTAAATCACTCCCTTTTTCTCTCTCCTCTCTCCTCTGACGCAGCATCATCCCTGTTAGCCATTAAAGAAGGGCGAAAAATAACCGTTGGTGTACTAGGTACTCCCTTCTTCTACATATATAGCCCTCTTTCTTCCATCCTCTTGTCCCAATTAGAAACCCTAAGTTTGAGAGAAATTTTTCGAATTTGATGTCTACCGTCTCTAGCAACAGCTCCTTCCGTCGCGCATTAGTGTACTACTGCAGATGCCGTGAACCTGTAGTGTGGAAGACCTCATGGACTGATTCAAATCCTGGAAGGCGGTTCGTTGGGTGTCTTAATTATGGGGTAAGTGTACTGAAATTTCTGAAATTTTAAAGGCAAAATTCACAAGAACACTCCCAGAAATTAGAGATTTTACATAAATACTCCCAAATTTGTTTATTTACACCATTACTCCCACATTTCTCTTTTATTTACGTCGTTACTCCGCGATTGCTTCATCATCAGTGTTTCTCGGGTGCCTCTTTTTATACGGGGTTTTTCATCTTTTTTTTATTGAATTCAAATTAAATTAATATGAACAGACTTGATATTAATCATTAAAAAGATTTAAGAAGTTTGAAATCTCAATTTTTTTAAAAGTGATGGGAAATAAGGGCAATAATTAGGCTTACTAAGACGTGAGAAAGACGGTGGAGAGAATAAGTTAAAGTGAATTTAGTATATTAGAGTGGAAAAAATACATGTCTGCATTTTAACTGTTCACTTAACGCAAAAATTACACATCCAAGTAACACTAATGATCACTACCAAATTTGGGAGTAACAACGTAAATAAAAGAGAAATGTGGGAGTAATGATGTGAATAAACAAATTTTGGAGTATTTATGTAAAATCTGTAATTTCTAGGAGTATTCTTGTCAATTTTGCCAATTTTAAATGGATGTTCTTTGCAATTGAGATTTTGTTTGAAAAGGGTTTTTTGTTTTGGTAGACTCCCAAATTTTGTCAGTTCATGGAATGGAGAGATCCAGAAGTTCATCCACGATATCGGGATGTCATTCTTGGCTTACTGAGAAAGGCTGAGAATATAAGAGAAGAGAAGCCGAAGGAGAAGAGTTTATGTGGACGTCACACCTGTTTCATTTCTTTATTCTTGGTAGTGTTCATAGCTTTTTTCTTATTGTTTTGCAGTTGTAAGGGTTGTGTATGCCAAGAGTGTTATAGTAGTGGCCATTGATTTATTGAGCCAAGTGAAATGTTGTTGTGTAGTGGATTCATTGTAGAATGTTGTTGACTCATAATGTAATTCAAGAGTGATGATTGTAGAATGAATGTTGACTGATTTGTGTTTCAGAGTGGTTTTTTAATAGCAGCAAGTTCTGTTATGTTGTTTTATTTTAAAGAGTAAATTTCACGTATGATATACCAACTTTGGGGTAATTTGCACGCATGGTATACTAACTTTGGATAAATTTAACGAATGGTATATACATTATATCACGGTACACCAACAACAATTACAACTTAGAGAAACTCCAATGCCTAGGGTAAATTATGATAGTGTAAAATCTATTTTACACTATAAATAGTGTTTTACACATCTACTTTTTTATACTCACTCCATCCATATCTTCTATAATATACACTTTTATAATTTTTTGTATTTAAAGTTATTTATTTATAATAATTATTTTTAATTCATCTTTTAGTACTATTGTGATTAAATTGAAGCACTTCATCTGAGAGAGGGCAGCGACATTAGAAAATGGAAAAAAGATGCAAACTGATATGAAGATTTGGATACTGAGTTGGTACTGAGAGCGGAAATTTTGAAAGAGAACACATGGAATTTATGAACCAGAACAGAGCAAATTGAGAAGGTTGGATGGAAAACAAATAAAAATGAAAGAGAGAGTGAAAAGTAGATCCAGGTGAGAGAAAATATTTTTTTATTATTTGCACTATATACATCATAGTGTAGAAATAGGAGGTGGAGAGAGCTTTTTGCACTATAGTGTTTTTTAGCATTGGGTTTACACACTCCATTGGAGTAGAATAAAATGATTTCATCTTGGATAAAGGATAAAGGGTATATTTAACAATATACCCTATGCATTGGAGCTGCTCTAGATAGTAGTGTATACTCCGTATATTTTATGGAGTACTCTGTATACAAGAGCACGGCCAAAAACTACTGTAGTACATCTGCAATGGATTAGATCAGTATCTCAACTTAATTCCTTGCAAATTGCAATTGTTGTTCTTTGCTTCCTCTTGTGCACCAAATTGCGTTTAATACAGACGGCGAAGCTTTTGACGAAGAACACTTTCAATTTGCCCAGTCGATTTTCCCGTCTCTTGGCCAGTGGTAATGAAGCTTCCTGATTTTCTATTTTGTCTGAGATTATTGATATCATTTTTCCATCTTTTGGAACCCCTTTTTTCTCGTTTTATTTATTATCAAAATATAGTATTTTGACCCAAAGACTGCAGCTTTAAGTAGGAATATGCTACATGATATGAGAGCGTGTTGGTTAAGGGTTAGACCCTTTTTCACTCTGGGATTGGGCAACGATCAAATGATGATGTAAAAGGCATGATCCCAGTGCCTTTGTTTATTTCCCCCCCTTCATTGTAATCTTTGTGTAGACTTTTTCTGTTGGCTTTGTCTATTATGCACTCATTGCTTTTTT